CAAAAGATCTCTGTATTTGTCATTGTATGCGAGTTGTTTTTAGGAATTTGGATTCATTCCAGGATATTTTTCCTTTTCAGAACTCACTTAATTGGAATGCACACACCGACACCTTCGTGGATAACTGTGTGAATCAACATTAATGGGTGCTTGGCTAGGTGTTAATTATGATAACATTTGAAATGATGTAAAATGTAAGCATCAATCAAAATGCACACAGAGGAATATGGGGAAGCCAGGAAAAGGAATAAGAGAGTTCTGTGCAGTATTTTAGAGAGTTCATCAAAATATTTTTAATAGCAGCTTGTAGGTCTGTGGTAGCCAACAGAGAGAATGCTACCTTTTGACGGTAAGTAGGAAATCAGAGCTATACAGAGAACTCTAATATGCACATGTACACAGACTATACACACTGTAGTTTTGCAAAGGGTGGGCTGGAAGGATAAGCCAGAAGCAATAAAGCTGCAGGGGAAAGCTTGAAAAGGTTAAAGGGAGTAGAATACTGGGAGCATTCCTTTGTGTTTTCGAACATCAAGAGTGAAGTCTCACAGCTGGTGTGGTGGCCTGGTTTGCTACTGACATGCAGAGGGGCCAGGGCACAGCTAAACATTCTCTAAGTCGTGGCAGCCTCCACAGCCAAGACACATCTAATTCAAGTGTTTGTAAGGTCAATGCTGGGAATCCTTGGCCTAGTGTGAGGGTGAAGGAGGCAGAAAAGAATCTGAGGTTTCCAGAACTGACCAGTCTTTTAAACCTGGCCAGCATTCGCCCCACCAGGTCATCTTGCTGCTCCCTGGGAGAGATGTGAGACGTAGGAGTTTTCACTGACATTTACATAAAATGTCAATACCTGAGAGCTGGAAGAGTAGTGGAGTCTAGGACACAGCATTGACCATGGTGGCTTCTATTGTTTTTTTGTGCATGCTAGGCAGGCACTTGACTTCTTGCCGTAATCCTAAAAGCCTCTTCCTCGCTTTAAAAATTCCTGTTCAGTACTGTCTAATTTATTCCCATTAAGAGCTGGCACATTTCCCCCTAGCGGACATCGTCCTAAAAGCTCCCTCCTGGTTTAGATCAATTCCTTGGTTTTGTAGAGCCTGTATAACAGAGCAGTTAGACCCCTAGTCTAACTACACCGACCTGAAGCTAGCCGCTGACCTGGACTGGAAATTATGGTCAAAGAGCAGAGACAACCTCTCCTCTGTCCTTCCTGCTGTTCCTTCTCACCTCGACAGCCCGTGGCCACCTCTGTCACCTCCGCCCCCTCCCCCGCGCCCAGGGGGACTTCCTGCTCAGACCTCCCAGCCCTGCGGATACTTGAGGCCAGGGCGCCTGCCCTTCCTCTTCTCGGTTCTGCTCTCTGCGGGCTGGAACCTAGGATCGGGGTGAGCTCTACTGTGGTCGGGCTGTGGGGCAGGGCGCTGGGGGCACCAGAAGTGGATGGGAGGAGTAGGCATGGACAGAGGAGTGAGCCCAGAGATCCCTGCTTCTGTTCCCTGTGCTGGGAGCAGCCCCGTGGCTGACAGGCATCAGAATCCCGGAGGGATGGGAACCAAGGGGGACCTAGGGATCTGCTCAGGGCAGCAGGATCTGCTACCTCAGTGGCCTCTTACTGGCTGCTGTGCCCTAGTCTGAGAGACAGGGTTGGGCTGTTTTCAGGTAGCCCAGACCCTCAGCACTTGTAAGTGCTTATAAATTCATATGTTTGAGAGGATTGACACCCTGAGGACAATTCCAGATTTTTTTTTTAATTGAACTCATGTCGGGGAAATATTGCAAGATTCGATGTCTGAGGGACTAGAAGGACATAGCCAAAGTTTTGACCAGGTTTCTGTTCCAGATGAGATTGGAATCTATGTTCGTTTTTCCTCCCTTCCTCTTTGTTTTGTTGATGGTCCGCCAGGTTTTTTCTACCGGACACTTGCTCAGCCTCTCCAGCCCAGCCCAGCCCAGCCCAGCCCAGGCTTGCTGTTCATCCTTCCTCCTTGGATCTGTTTGGAGACATTTAAAGTATGGAAATCTGGCATAGGAGTGGTGTCAGGAAGCTGGGTGAGGTCTGGTTCTGCACTGTTTTCAGAGATCCTGTGAGCAGTTGCTTGTGATAGTGTTGTACCCAAGGCTGCCCGCTTCCTCCTGTGGTTTTAAGTGTGTGGTGTGGGGTCTGACTACCAGGTAACATTTGACTTGTTCTTGTGAGCAACACTGAGGCTCAGTAACATGCATGTGGTTACAGGAATGGCTGATATTTGAGTACTACCCCGAGTAATGGCATCCACCATGGTTTCTGTCATCACACAGAGAAAGTGTGTTTGGTTCACACTTGGCTCCTTAAACCAAGTTCCCTTGGCTCCCCATGTCTACTTACATGGATTTCACACTTAGCCAACGTGATTCAGCAGACAAAAATCAACAGCAGATGGGAACTACTGAGGAAAAAGCCAGGCCTAGTGCCGGTAATCTAAGCATCCAGGAAGATAGGAGGAAGGAGACAAGAAGATAGGAGATGGAGGTCAGCCTGGGGGGTGGGGGTGGGGGTGGGCTATGGTCTACCCAATTCAAACATGGGTAGACTGTTTTTCCTTTTCTTCTTCTCTAAACAGTATGGTATACAGGCATCATTTATATGGCATTTACACTGTATTGGGTAATATAGGTTATGGTCAGACAATTTAAAGAATATGGAAACATGTATATCGGTTATATCAAATACTATGCTATTTTATTTTTAATTTAAATATTTTGTATATCATGTGGTTTCTTGAATGGGGACATGTGGCGGGGCAGCTTTTTATGTGTACATGTGCATGTGAGTCTCAAGGTTGATATCTGGCATCGTCTTTATTATGCTTTCTCCACTGTATACTTCCAGGCAGGGTCTCTTAGTGAACACAGGGCTGGACATTTTGGCTATTCTGGCTGACTGCCTTGCTCAGGGGGATTCACTGTCTCTTCCTCCAGTGGGTTGGCAGAGGATGCTGCATCTGTCTTGGTTTTACGTGGGTTCTTGGGATCCAAACTCCTGACTTCCTGCTTGTGAGGCAAGCACTTTACCCTCTAATAGTCTGCCCCACCTATGATGTTACTGTAAGGGATTGAGCACCTGAGGATTTTGTATCTTCAGATTTTAACTAATGGTCTTCAGATACCCAGGAATGACTATTTAAATTTATACCAGGCCTAGTCCACTGCACTGTGTCTTACTACAGTTCAGTGAATCACAGCTAGCTCATTGCAGGAACAGCAGATGAAATCAGAGCAGGGTTTGGAATCAACAGTTTTCCCAATATCTGACATAAGGGTGTTGTCAGAGGAGCAGCAGGTGGCAATTGTGATTGGAGGCTCACCAGGAAACAAAACCCTGATGGGTGAATCTCAGCTAGGCAAGGCCCAAGAGCCTGGGCCCCAGATGTTTCTTGCTGCTGCTGTGTCTTTGCGTGTTTGCCGCTACCATTTCCCCTGGTATCTGGCATGATACGACTGGGCATGGGGAGATCCCCACTGTTCTTGATGTAGTCTTGGAAATATTCTGTTCTACTGGGCATTTTTACCTGAAGATGACTTTCTCCTAAGCTGTATGTACGGTTTAACTGAAGCCATGATTTTATACAATAATAGTGTCAGTTTAAATAGGATTTTGATAATTGAGAGTTTTTAATAAATATAGCAAGGGAATATGATAGTGGTTATTTTAGTGGAAAAATTAACATAGGTAAATGGAGAACAAAATGTTGCCTCTGCCTCTGATAAAGCAAAGGCTGCAGAGGATAAAATATAAAACAAGGAAGTGTCACACAGCCAGAACACATGAGTTTCTATTGAGGAGCCATATAGACTGTGGCTTAGGTTAATGATTAAGAAAAACAATTGAGTCCCAGTAGACCAGATAGCTTAAGTTCTTTTAATCTTAATGTTGGGAGACGTGTTCACAGGTTTTGGAATGCATCACAGCTGAAACAAAGCTTTGAAAGTTTGAAAATAACTTAAGGTTAGACTAAGAAGTCTTTGTCAAATAGCTTTGAGGTGAAAAACCCAAGAAGACAATTTAAAGTTTGAGAAAGGCACATAGCTGAGTGAGGGACTCGTTAAGGCCAGGAAACAAGAACAAAGCAGCCCAATTATCATTAGCTGACATGGCTTTCTTGCTAGGATTAGTTGGTGATCAAAGATGATGATTAATTCCTTGTACCCATTTCTACCCCCAACTGCCTCATATAAAAAACTGTTGATGAGTGGGTATGCACCTGAAAGATTTAAAGTAGAACTGACAGTTTTTCATATATAAAAGTTTAAGTTTGTGCTTCTTTTAAGATTTCTTATAAGATTACCTTTCAAGATAAGTAATAAAGTGATTGATTCTTTCTTTGTAAATGCAATATGCAGCCTGCCAGTAAAAGAACTGGCTGAGAAAAATACCCTGCTTGCTCACACTCTGTTAATCTATTACAAATTACTTAGATGTGAATGTACGTGGATTCTTGGGATGACTTTGTTTTAATCATGTAAGGGAAATGGGAAACATGTTTTTTAAAACCTGTATTCATTATAATCATTCACTTGAAAAATAGAATGTAACCACATTGTAATTTTTATATTACCTGAAAGATTTTGTTGAGATATATGAGTTGTAAAGAAAAAATAAGAACTGAGAAGATGATAGAAAGAGAGAGAGAGAGAGAGAGAGAGAGAGAGAGAGAGAATTTCCCTCTCTTGCGGGCCCTAGAGTTAATTTTAGCCTTCCCCCCCCCCCCACACACACACACATCAGCCGGCTTCAGAGAATTAAGTTTTACTCCCTCAGATAGAAAATTTCTGGAAAGATGGCTCAGCTGTTAAGAGCACTGGCTGCACTTCCAGAGGTCCTGAGTTCAATTCCCAGCAACCACATGGCAGCTCACAACCAACCGTAATGAGATCTGGTGCCCTCTTCTGGCGTGCAGGTGTACATGCAGACAGAACATTGTATACATAGTAAATATATAAATCTTAAAAAAAAAAAAAAAAAAAGTCCAGGTCCATGGACTCTGTAGGCTCCCCCTCAAGCCCTTGCTACTGGAGGCTAGTCCTCATGGCAGCCATAGGGCATGCAAGTGGATGTTGCCCACTCTCACTGAAGACTGCACCCCCTGTTTCCTAACTTGCTAGACCTAGGCCAAGAAGATGTTAGAAAAGACAACAGTGTATAACTCCTATGTTTATTAGTCCACCTTCCTCCCCTTGCAAAGGAAAAGAAAGGAGAAAGCACACAAGGGCCTAAGTGTCCATTAAACTAGCGTTTGAATGGTCAAAGTTTGTGAGAAAATGAAGGCATCCTTAAGGAGGTCAAGAAACACAGTTAAGTGGAGACTCCTGACTTAGCAGCTTACTAAGCCCTATGCACTGAACTCAGTGCCCAAAGGTGGTGATGATGCTGCACATGGAAATGATTCCGAAATCGACTCATTAGGCTGCTTTCAACAGTACAGAAAACTGTGCAGTACTAACACATTAGTAACACGTTTTCTGTCCCTGACTAACACTGTTTTCATTTTTCAAAAAGTAGTGTAGTTTTTACTGTGCAATGCGAGCTTTTACCCAAGAGTCTGAAATGTCCCAGGGAAATGCTTTACTACTAATCTGTGTTGCCAGCTCCAGGAATAGTATTTATACTGCAAAGTGAAAGTGAAAATTGTTTCATTGTTATGCAATAGGTTATTTTCAAACTTATGGCTATAGACAATTGAGGATTTTACTCAAGTTTTTGACAAATTTCACCCAAAAAAGTGGGGACTAAGGGGAAATAAAAATATATGGATTTTTAGACATTCAAGGATTTAGTTATTCTGATCACAGAAATAGTTTGTCCTGTGTATTTTATCTCCTTGTTCTCAGAGCATGCTAAACTAACAGTCGAGAAGACGGTTTTAAATCATCAGAACAAGGTCAGGACAGGAGAGGGATGAACAGGACTTGGACAGGACAGGCCTGCCGATGTTTGGAGTGAGCAGGTTGCTAGAGGAAGTTCTCAGTGTCCGTAGAGGGAAGAAGAGCCCAGAAAGGGCCACAGATGCAGTCTTGGAGGGACAAGTCCCTCAGAGTCAGGGGTGAATTCAGGACGAGGGAAGGAGAGGAAATGCTCAAATGTCATCAGACTTCTCAATAGCAAAGCTGATGGCTGTAAACAGTTAGGCAAAGGCTCCAAGATTCAAATGTAAAAACCACATCCAGCCTATTATAGACCTTGCTAAAGTGTCCGTGGAATGGAAGTACAATGACCATGCCAGAAAATCAGGGAATTGAATTAGCTGTTTGGACAGTGCGTGGCAGCAGAGTGAGGGAGTGACACAGGACGCAGCAAGCTCTTGGGGCCCAGGACAGACGATACTGGTGAAGGGGGTTAAGCTGTGCAGCCCTTAGAGCACAAGCAGCTACAGTGGAGTATTGTGGATAACGTGGTCTATGAGCACCAGACGGTGTAACACATTTGCAAAATGCAAGAGAAGAACAGTGTGCTGAGCCCAGGTGAATGCCTCCAAGTGCCAGTGTGTCTCGGAAGGGTCAAGTGCATGGAAACTTTCAAGATGGCCTTTACTGCACGATCCATTTGGGTTGTGAGGGGAAGTGTGTCTCCCAGTTTGTTACTGGTGTGCCCAATAGCATTAGCTGGGTTTTTCACTCAGGTCTGTCGCTCCAGCTGCACTCACAGCCCTTCTATCAACAGAAGCCAGGAGGTGAGCGATATGTCCCTGGACTAGAGATGTTGAGCACAGCCTATAAGGACCCTTTGTTGCCAGAGAGCCAGGATGTGTGAGTCCAAAAGCTCAGGGCAAAGTAACCAGTTTAAAGAGATCCTCACTAGACAAAAAGGGACATTTCTGAGCATCAAGAATAAAAGCAAAAACAAAAACACCAGTTAGCTGAAATACTTGGAGTGTGCAAGTTCAAGGGTTGAAACCTCCGTCTATACCGTCAGCACGCTTTCCATTCTGACAACAGCTCTAAGAGGCAGAGTGCATGCTGTGTCTCCTCACAGGCCCTAGAGGTAGGTTCCCTTCCCCTGCCGGTAGGCGCTTGCTTTCCCCTTTTCGTGTTCTACCTGCTCTCACACCCTGTTCAGGGGAGTCATCGGAAGCCTCTGAGAACGCCCAGGCTGTCAGGCTGCAGAAACGGGACTTTGGTAACTGTCTGTGGGTGACGTCAGAGCAGGCAGGCCCTGCTCCTGCAGTCTCCTGCTTCCAGCCTCCTCTGCTGCATCTGTAGATTCGTAGGCTGGTGACTCTACTGCTGCCTCTTGGCCTCTCACATGACCCCTGGCTCTTCATGTAAGGAATGACTTCTTGTACAGTAGAAGGACAAGGTACTGGGCCTGAGTTAGCCTGTCTGCTCCCAGCAGGGCTGTATCATTTAATGTATGTGACCTTCACCTTTCATGCTGTGGGGGCTGCATTCACTGAGCCACAGCATCACTGTGTGAGCGCGAGTGAAGACGCAGCTAACCCATCAGCCTGGGTTTATATGACGTTGATTTTAATCCCCCATTCCAGGCTCATCATCATGGATCCTCTGCTGGAAGCCAATGGCACCTTCGCCTTAAACCTTTTGAAAATACTGGGTGAAGACAGCTCAAAAAATGTATTTTTCTCACCCATGAGCATCTCCTCGGCCCTGGCCATGGTCTGCATAGGGGCAAAGGGAAACACTGCAAGCCAGATGATTCAGGTAACCAGCACCATTTCCCACCAGATAAATACCATATGGACTGTCAGTTGAGCTGGTCCAAATCTCAAAGTGACTGCTCTTGATGAACAACTGCTGGAGACATTAGAGCGTCAGTGTGTATGATGGCAAGTATCTGCTACCCCTGCTGGGACACTGGCATGAGCACCTTGATCCATTAGTGCTGGTGGGGTGAATGCTGGTTATGTTAATGGGAAGGTTGGAGATCACTTGGGCCAGGAACACCAAACGTTTGCAACCCTTACCCCATTATCTGTTTTTTCACTCCTCATGGGCCTCAGCCTTCCTTGAAGCAAAGTACACTGGGCTGATCTGTGGTGATATTTTATTTGTGCTCTTCCAAATAAAGCTTGCCTGAAGATCAGAGTGTGGAGCTAGCCATTAGTCAACCACAGATGATGCCAGGCAGTGCTGGCGCACACTTTTGATCCCAGCATTTGGGATCTTATGTTTTTGATCTCAGTACTTGGGAGTCACACACCTTTAATCCCAGCCCTGGGGAGGTGGAGACAGGAAGTGATGTGGCTGAGCAGAGAGAGGAATATAAGGTGGGAGGAGACAGGGGCTTGTCCCTTTTTGGACTAAGGAGTTGGCAAGGTAAGAGGTGGCTGTGGCTGGCTCCTTTACTTCTCTGAACTTTCAGCATTTACCCCAATATCTGGCTCCAGGTTTTTATTAGAATTGGCACTATACTGATCCTTCCCATGACCCTGAAGTTCCTTCCCACATTAGGTCAGGTGTGGCAGGGAGTCCAGAGACAGAACCAACCACAGCTCCTCCTGGGTACAGTGTTTTAGGTGCAGAGGCATGTGAGTTACAAAGACAACCTGCCCAGAATAACATGGGGAGACAGCCAGGGATGAGTCCATTGCAGAAATGGGGAAGGGGACATGTGTTAGCCAGGTACATCCGTGTAACAGACAGAACTGCTGGGTGATTTAAATGATACACCCTTTTATTTTTACTGTTCTACAAGCTGAAGTCTAAAACCAAGGGGTTGACATTTTGGTTTTCCGTGTCTTATAGATAGCAGCTACCGCTGTGTTCTCATTGTGTGTTTCCTGTTTGCTGTGATCCGATCTCCTTTCTTATAATGGCACTCCTCAGACTGGATTAGAGTTCACCCTTATGACCTCATTTCAACTTTACTATTCCCTTACAGGCCTGTTTCCTAATATGGTCACAATTATTTAGACAGATACCAAAGGTCGCAGGGACAATGTCTCATGTGTCTTGTCACCACAAACAAGTACTTCTGCCCACAGACACCACACCACAGACCCTGTTCTCCAGACCCCTGTAAACACTCCTTCACTCTCCTGCCTTGCCAGCTGTTAAGTCCAAAGCCAACACCATGAGTTAGATCTCATCAAGTTTTTTTTAGAACAAGCCATCCTGATATGCAGTGGGTAGAAGCAACACTGACAATGTTTCTCAAAATCTGGGTTCCAATGAGGAGGAGTTCCTCTGCTCATTGTGAAACCAGATCAGCTGAGGTCACCATGGGCTCTTTTAGCAGCATTGGAAGATCCAGTGAGGCTGATCTCATGTCTGAGGTGCCAGCTATTGGCTAGGGCTTTGGTTTTCTTCCAAGTCACTTTGTGTGGTAGTGTTGACTCCAGAGGTTTCCATGTTGCCAACAGCAGGATAGCTTGGTCTTCCTTCCATGAGGTTGGCTGGACACAAACATGGCACTGGGTCTTCGAAGGCCCAGGCCTGGAACAGTATTACTTCTTAATACTGTTGGTCAGTGTCTTAGAGTTACCATTGCTGTGATGAAACACCATAATAAAGAACAACTTGGGGAGGAAAGGGTTTATTTCAGCTCACAGTTCCGTATAGCAGTTCATCATCAAAAGCAGTAAAAGCAGGAACTCACACAGGGCAGGATCCTGGAGGCAGGAGCTGATACAGAGGCCATGGAGGAGTGTTGCTTTCTGGCTTGCTCATCATGACTTGCTCAGCCTGCTTTCTTATAGAACTTAGTACCTCCTTCCTGCCCAGGGGTGGCACCACCCACAATGGGCTGGGCACGACCTACAATACCCTTTCACATCAATCACTAAAAAAATGCCCTACAAACTTGCCTACAGCCCCATTTTATGGAGCCATTTTTTCTTTTTGTTTTCTAGACAGGGTTTCTCTATGTTGTCCTGGCAGTCCTGGAACTCACTTTATAGACCAGTCTGGTCTCAAACTCATAGAGATCCACCTTCCTCTGCCTCCCGGGTACTGGGATTAAAGGTGGGTGTATGCCACCACTGCCTGGTTTAGAGGCAATTTATTGACTGAGGTTCCCTCCTTTTTGATGTCTTTACCTTGTGTCAAGTTGCCATAAAACTATCTAGCACAGTCAGGCAGTGGCAGCACCTGCCTATTCAGGGGCGGAGGAGAGACTGTGGCAGTCTAAGGTTAGGAGCTGCCTGCTTTGAGCCAGTGGAGGTTGGGTTGGCAGCCATGGTTTTAGCAAGATAATAGGTAGTGAGCATGAAGAGTTGAGGTTTTTGGAGGTCCATTTCTGCACACTCCAGGGCTGACAGGGTCTCAGAAAAGACCTTAGAGAGGGAGCTTTCAAAACAACTTTGTCTTTTTAGGTAATTATTTGAGCGACAGCAGGGATCTGTAAAATTCTGAGCAGGAGCTTAGTGTTTACCTATTTCCTAAAGCTGCACTTACTGGAATTCTGTTTTGAATCTGTTTGATTTCAGGCACTCTCTTTGGATAAATGCAGCGGCAGTGGAGGTGGAGATGTCCACCAGGGCTTCCAGGCACTTCTCACAGAACTGAATAAGACCGGAACACAGTACTTGCTCAAAACAGCCAACAGGCTCTTCGGTGAAAAGACTTTTGATATTTTAGCAGTAAGTTTTTCCAGTTTTTGTGAAGCAAAGTGAGAGAGGAATTATGTGGTACAGTAGGGAGTGTGTGAGCTGGGAGTTCCCCAACTATGTGGGCATCAGGGCAACTCTCGTGTATGTGCATGTGCATTTGTGTTGTTTTGAATTGTACAGAATACAAATTAAGTCAGCAAAGCATGAGCCCTCCTCACCCTGTTTCCCAATCTCCATGTTACCTAGAATAAGAGGGTCTATAGAGTTGATGCTTGTCTTCCTGCATATACAGAAATTTATTTGTGAATATTTTCCCTGCATACAGCCATCAGAATATACATATTGTTTCATAATTTGTTTCTTTCATTCTTTGTATTTTATGTTGTACTACAGTTTTTCACGTTGTTATTTATTATTATCCTACTATTACTTTATTGTTATGATTGATGTTGGGGTTGGAATAATGGCCTCACACATGCCAAGCATACACTCAAACACTGAGCTAAATCCCGGGGCCTGCTCACTATGATTAGCCATCCTCCAATAGTCCTGAGTATACATGTTTCATGGCATGGAAAACCATTTTCCCATGGAGGGATTTTAACTTACACCCTGTCTGGGCCATTGCCAACCATATATTATTGAATATGATTTTGCACATTGTTTTTTTTTTTTTTTTTGCTCCCGAGTGTATTGGTAGAAAGAAGAAAGTGAAGCTTTGAGATTGTACTATGTATTGTTAATTGTTCTCCCACTGGACCTACAGGGACTCTCTGAGGTAAAGCCATGGCTGTCTCCTTACACCTAAGCAGAATTGTGAAGTTATATTATAAAAGTAGTTCCCGGAAAACAAATGAAATATGTGTCCGTGAGCTGTTTGAAAGAAAGACTAGGGAATCATTCCTCATATGCTGTCAACATAGTGCGTGTTTCAGCCCATTTGTGCAGCATCATTTTCTGTTCTAGCATGGCAGACTGTGGGCAATCGTTAACACTACTGCTACCTCATAGGCTGTGTCAGCAATAGGGTTTGAACATCTTTTTGTGCTGCTGGAGATCAAACCCAGGACCTTGTACATGCTGGGCCAGCCTCTCACCGCCAAACTGTTCACTAGACTATGTCCCCAGCCCTGACAGCTTTTTTGTGAGTTGCTCACATCTGAAGCTGAGCCACCCAGTGTGGTAACCACCAAATACACGCAGCTATTCACAATCCAAACCATCAGTGAAGATAAAATAAATTTTGTCACCTCACCTGTTGTATTCAGGCAGTCTGTGGCCATAAGCAACACCATGCTTGAAGAGTGCCAATTTCTGCTTCTGTCCTCACAGGAAGTTGTGTGGAAGGCTAGTGCGGAATGACCTCCCATGTCCTGTGTTCCCTGCGACACTGTGTAGCCCTGCTGTAGGTCTTGTGAGGCTGTCATTCTGCATACCCTAGAGTTACTGCATCTGAGGATCTTCTCAGTGACCTCAGTCAGTCACAGCTACTGTCTGGAGGATTTGCAGTTCATGGCATTTTAAGACCACCCTCTTACCTTGCTCAAAAACTAAAATTCAAGAGTTGAATACAGAGAAGTTTATTTTTTATTTCTCCTCCTTTTTAATAGTAAGTGCATTTGTACGTCATTGAATTCTTGCTTCTCTGCTTTTGATCATCAAGGAAGGAGGCTGTTAGTGCTAATCACTTCCATGGCTATGTAGTTATGTTGCTCTGTCTCAGTCTTTTAAAGATTCCTGCCACAAGTTCTACGAAGCAGAGATGGAAGAGCTGGACTTTCAGGGAGATACAGAGCAGTCCCGACAGCACATCAACACCTGGGTGGCCAAAAAGACAGAAGGTGAACACAGAGTCCATCTGTTCTGTTTGTTTGGTTGGTTTTGGAGCTGGGAATTGAACCCAGGGCCTTGAACATGCTCAGCAGGTTCTCTATTATTGAGTTACTTCCTAGTCACTGTTAGCCAGTTAGTCTATTTTTAATAGTCTTATTGATCTCTTATTCAGAAGAACATCGGCTGTGAAGGGGAGTATCTCTTTGCTTTTTAAGGTGATTGTCTCACTTAGGGTTTCTATTGCCGTGAAGAGACATCATGACCACAGCAACTCTTATAAAGGAAAACATTTAACTGGGATGGTTCACTTATAGTTCAGAGGTTCAGTCCATTATCACCACAGTGGGAAGCAAGGCAACATGCAGGCAGACATGGTGCTAGAGCTGAGATTGTTTGCATCTTGGTCGAATGACAGCAGGAAGTGAACTGTCTCACTGGGTGGAGCTCGAGCATAGGAGCCTTCAAAGCCTGCCACCACAGTGACACCTTCCTCCTGCAAGGCCACACCTACTCCAGCAAGGCCACACCTCCCATTTGTGCCTCTTCCTTGGGGGCCATTTTCTTTTAAACCACCACAGTGACACTTCCTTTTTATTTTATGGTTTTGCCATGTTAGGAATCAGCTCCAGGGCTTTGTGCATGTCAGCAAACATTGTACCACTGAGCTATAGCCTCCAGCCCTAAAGTGGAGTCTCTTAAACTTTTCCCATTTGTGACCCCCTTTCACTTAAGTTATCTTTATGTGACTAAACATCAAGTGTCAAACATATATGTATATATATATATATATATATATATATATATATATATATATATATGTAGTCATTTATTAAGATTAAAGCACTTTGGCATACTAATGAAATTATATTGCTTGCCCAATCCAACATGATCCAAATATATATAATAATTTAATATTTACTCACTGAAGAACGATGACAGTAAAATATTAAAAGCCTTTGTCTTTTACGATTAAACCATTCTGTTTATATAAGAGCAGAAAATGTGTGTGGGAAAACACTGCAGTTCCCAACATTCAAGAGACTTGAATCTGAACCACAGTGTTTCAGGTAGCATGGATTAGTGTTATAGGAATGACAAGATGTGTAGTGCAATGTGCATATGTGTGTTCAAAACCATGGCTGCAGAGAACTCATATGATGCAATGCAGTCCATTAATGCCAGGAGCACCTCAGGCTGATTAAATGTTTGATTTCAAAGTAATTTTTGGCCATTGTGCATTCAAATACCTTTTATGGTTGCCCACTATTTTTGCTGCTGCTTCATTCAGTTACATGGTGGGACATGACTCCCATTTTAAGAAGCCTTCCTCTTCTGCCAGGTGTAGTGGTGTAGGCTTTTACTCCCAGTATTTGGGAGGCAGAGACAGAGACAGAGGGATCTTGGTGAGTTAGAGGTCAATTTGGTCTACAGACTTGTTCTACATATAGTGAGTTCTTAGCTAACCAGGGCAACATGGTGAGAATTGGTCTCAAAGAGGGAAAAAGAAAGAAGTGGCTTTGTTCTAAATTAATTCAACCTTTACAGTTCTGTCTTTAGTAAATTAACAGTGTCTGACATGTTTTCTAGCTTTAGCCTGCTCTAACCCACCTATCTGTGATGTCTGTCAGTATCTTGGATAGCTTTTCCAGAGCACATTTCCCTCCCTCCCTCCCTTCCTATCTACCTGTCTGCCTGCCTTCTTTCCTTCCTTCCTTTCTTTTAGTCTCTTCATGAATTGAGTGAAGAACAGTTTGCACTCTGAGTTGAGCTCCCTACTCTGATGTGGCTCAGATTCTACAGTTCTGGTGTATCCCTACAGGTGGGTTCGCCCTGCTGTCCTTCACCTGCAGTTGTGAGCTCTGCCTTATACTTGTAAGGAGCACTGTATAGCTGCTCCTCTACTTTTAAATTTAATTTTTAAATCCTGACACAGGAAATTATGCATATGTTTGGGGCTCTGTGTTATTTTCAAGACATATAATCTTCCTCAAATAGGGGGTTAATATTCTTATTGATCCAAATATTGTGTATATGTGTGTACATGTGCAGGTCCATCTGTGTGTTCATGTGTAGGTATGTATACATATATGTTTCTGTGTGTGTGGAGGCCAGAAGACATTGGCTATTGTTTCTCAAGCACTATCCATTGGAGTATTTATCTAATTACTCTTTATCAATAAAAAATCGGAAGTCAGATATTGGGGTAAAAATCTGAATGATCAGAGAAGCTGTAGAGAAGCCATCAGTGACCTCCTACATCTTCTGTTCCTCCCTCCAAAAGCACCAAGATCCTCCCTCAGCCCTGACTTACTACTTCCTGTCTCCTATCTATTCTCAGTTTTCTGTTGAGAACAATTAGAAGGTAAATCATTTCCAACAGATGTTTCTAGTGTTTATTCCATGACATAAAAGTACCTATGGTTACTTTTGTAACCTCTATGGTTAATTTTGATCAGCTAGTGGCTAGCTCCACCCTCTGACTCAAAGCAAACTTTATTGTCAGAATTTGATCAAAATATCACACAACAGTCTATCTCATCATCATTCCTGTTTTTTTTTTTTTTTTTTTTTTTTTAAGTCAAGGTCTCTCACTGGACTGGAACTCACCAATAAAATATGCTGGATGTTCAATAAGTTCCACCGATCCATCTGAGTCTACCTCCAAAGTGCTGAGATTACAAGCATGCTTGATCACATCTACTTGTTTTGATTTGTTTGTTTATGTGGGTTCTGGGAGTTGAACTCAGGTCTTTGGGCTTGCAAAGCACACAATGCCTGAACTATCTCCTTAGCCCTAGTTTTTAAATTTGAGTTTATATCCAAACCATTTTTTAAAGATTTATTTTTCAATTATGTGTGTGTATATGACTGTTTGTCTATGTTTGAGTATTTTTACCTGTGGGGGTCAGAAGAGGGCATCAGACTTCCTGTAGTTTGAGTCACAGGTATTTGGGAGCCACTTGACATGGAAGAAGGGTCCTTTGCTAGAGCAGTAAGCACTCTTAACCCCTGAGCCATCTTTCTAGCACTTTCTCCATTTTTTAAAAAATTCTTTAAATTCCTTCATTAAGTTTAAGATACCAGCTGCTTCTTTTTCTAGCTCACATGTTAAGGATTCACACTGAATGTACTGGCATTGACTCATACATTTTAGGTATTCATTGGAACAATGATGTTTTTGTTTCATGAACAATTTCTTTTGTTTAATTTTTTTCTTCTCAGAACTTTTGAAAAATATTCCCTTTTCTTTGTAGTGATGGTTGTGTTGCTTTAAGGACAAATATTTGACTTATATTTAATGGACAGTGAAATCCCTTAAATGTGTACTTGACCATTCAAGCAGTTGGTCACTCTGCATGTATCAGCCAACTCTCTTAGCTAACTGGCTTTTTAATTCTTCCTTTCAGATAAAATTACAGAGTTGCTGTGTCCAGGTGCAGTGAATTCAGACGCTCTGCTGGTGCTTGTGAATGCCATCTACTTCAAAGGAAACTGGGAGAAGCAGTTTAACAAAGAGGACACCCGAGAGATGCCTTTCAAAGTCACCATGGTGAGTGCTGAATGGTCCCCTGTTTACACTGGCCTCTAAAACACACAAGAAGGCTGTCTCATGCAGTCTGTGCTTCATGTGGCTTTGGGTAGCTTGGCAAGGACTTCCCACTAACCTTCAGGGCTTTCTCTTCTTTTCTTCTTGTATGGTACCACACAGACACCTGCTTGCTCCCCAATTTCTTGCCTGGACCCTGCTTCTGTGATCTGTTATGCTCTTGCTAGTGTCTGCATACGGGACAAATCTCCGGCACTGCTCTCTGTTTACTTTATTTGGATCTTCGGCGTTTTTCAACTTTTGAGATAAAGTTCAAAAATCTACATATGGTATATAAGGCCCTTTGGGCCCCTGGATCTAGCCCATCTTTCCTGATTTCCTTTTTTTTCAGTGCTGTCCTCCACAAAACTCCATCCATTGTATACCCTCATTCTCCAAGCTGTTACCACGCTCCTCACTGGTCTCTACAAGACAACACAGCAGTCTTTTGTCACCTTGCTGTAAAAGCAACGGAGGGAAACACTTGTTTTATAGTGGCTAGTTTATGATTAGTGCTCAGTAGACAGTAAATCAGTGGGCAAAAATTAGTTTGATGGGACAGGTACAGATTTTTGCTTACAGACAAGAAAACAAAGACATGTGTATACAGGATAGACTCTGAGTATAGCAACCTCCACCTTGGAGGATATCACTTGCTGATGGATCTCTGCTGTTGTTCTGCTACCCTCAGCATAGGACCTTAGCTTTTTTATATACATAGTTAACATTTTTATTTCATGTGCAAGGGTGTTTGCCTGCATGCACTTTGTGCATTTGTCTTAAGCCCATGGTGGTCTGAGAGGATGGCATTGGGGGCTCCAAAATGGATGGTAGTGAGCTAGCATGTGGGTTTGCGAACTATAACTAGGTCCTCTGCACGAGCAACAAGTGCTCTTAAGTGTTAAGCAATCTCTCCAGTTCCAAGAGGGTCTTTCTCATGCTCGCACCATGGCTTGGACCTTGATGCTATATGAACGTGGAAAAGGACAGAGGGAGGAAGGAGAGCAGGAAGCATCTCATTTGAGCTCCTCCCTTTCATCCAGAGGGAAATCTTTCTCATACATTGTATTCTCTCTTCATTTCTTATCTCTGCAGTAGAGAAAGATGTGGCTGTGGCTGAGGGTCAACTGCAAGCCATATATGTATGTCCCTGGTCTGTTGAATGAGCTATCGTAACCATATTTTTTCTTATTTTGAATGGGTGAGTTTATTAAGTACATCCAGTTAAAGTAAAAGAATAAAAAAAAGTGATAGATGTAGATGGATGAATGGATACATGGGTGGATGGCCACCATCAAATCAGGAATTCAAAACATCTTGTAGTAGTTGATTGGGAAAGCCCCATTAAATAAAGCAATCAGCTGGCGCTCCCAAGACAGAAAGCCCCAGGTGGAGCAGAGTGTCTGCTCTGATGAGGCTCCAGATAAAAGAACAAGAAACAGAAAGGTAACATCATTCAACCCTGGGCAAACAAACACTCAGCAAACCAACTGAGGAAGCCCCATAAGATAGCCAACTAGAGCTCCCCATTGAGAGTCCCAGACAGAACAGAGGCTGTCTGTGAGACTTTAAAGTAAAACTGAAGAACAACAGATGGTGATAACACCATCAAACTGAAGCTGACAACATCCAGTAGAAACCTACTGGGAAGCTGAGGCAGTCATCAGAACCCCAGCTGAACTTTCTCTCCCTGACTGAGGTTCCCATGGCAGAATTTCCAGATTTTCTTTCCCACTGTAGGTACTTTTATGTCATGGAATAAACACTAGAAACATCTGTTGGAAATGATTAACTTCTAACTGTTCTCAAAGACACAGTATTTATACTCTTAGACTGTTTTGAATTTCCTGTCAGAGTTGGGAGGAGGGGGACAGCTGATCTCCAGGAGCCTAGGAGAATATTTGATATAAACATCTTTGATTTGGAAACATGTGTGGAGAGGAGAGGAAACCTCTCTTCCAGAAAGAGCTTCTCAATAAACTCAAACAATACAGGACACTTTCCAGTAGAATGTACTTGCGGTAGCTGGGGGTCCAAAACCACAAGGTTTTTGTGTTGATACAGACTTTTATTTAAATTCCATATTACTAAATGGATAGGAATTATAGACATGAATCAGTAAATAATTAAATTACTAAGACTGGGCCTTTTTATATTACATGATTGGATGCTTTGGGTACTAGAGACATATTGGGAGAAACTGCCCAAGGCAGAAAGCAACACCTTGTGGATTATGTCCAAAAGTCAGTCCAGGCCCGTTTTCCCAGACAGAATTTCTTGAGGACACACTCCTGCTTGTTATTGACAGACGCTCCAGCAGCAGAACAGCAGAACAGTTGTGACAAAGTGTGTGGGCCACAGGCTCAAGAATCTAAACATCCTGGTCTGCCACGGCTAAAGTGTCCTAGTCATGGGCCAAGGACATGCCTGAAGAGACGAGGCCAGGAAGCTGCTTGGCTTGGGGCTAGTTCAGGCAGACATGCCGTGGTGAAGACGGACCAGGACGACAGAAATGTCCTCCTTTTGCCCCCACTTGATTGAGAATGGGGTGCTGTGCAGAGAACTGTGACTGCAAAGGTAATGAGACAGATGTAGGGTATGAGAAAGGAATGATCTCTGCATATCAGATATTTACATTATGATATCAGATGTTCTTTGTTTCATGAGACAATCAAAGAAAGGTCACTCCAAGATGAACTTTAGGACTTGGCAGCAGGTAGGAGCAGCCTCTGATGACTGAACCTCGAACAGCCATTTAAAGGCGTATTTATTGATGATTACACAAAGTTGTTTTGGGGATGAACAAGTTCCTCATACAAAAGTCCCTGATCTAATCTGTATGTTTTTCTGAAGGAAAACATCACACCCTTTAATCTTTATTGTGTACTATTTGTAGTACCCAATAATCCAAGAGATCCAGGTGTGCCAGAGGTGTCTGGCACACAGCTTTCTGACACTGTATTTACAGTTATGGAGATAATCAGCTTAAGAAGAGAACAGGTTCATTGGATTCATTTTTAGGGGTTCCAGTTTCCGATTAGATGAATCCATGATTTAGGCCTGTTATGGCGGTTCTTACTGGTGATGGTGGGATCAGACGAGGAGCAAAACTGTTCACCTCAAGGCCAGAAAGTGAAAGAAAGGAAAAAGAGGCCAAAGTCCTGAAATCCCTTTCAAGGGCACATCCCAATGACCTAAACACCCCCTACTAGGCCCTACATCTTCAAGATTCTACCCCCTCCCAAAACTGTACTCTGACGACCAAGCCTTTAAAAAAAAAATGGGTCTTTGAGGCACAGGTAAGTTCTAAATTACTCCAGAGGCTGAGGGGCTGATGGAATGTTCTGGGAAGTTTAATCAAAGTGCTCCTAGAGGCAGAGAGTGACTGCCTCTGTTGCCCAAAGTATTCATTGTGTCTTGTTTTGACTTAATATTTATCCATCTCTCACAGAATGAGGAGAAACCTGTGCAAATGATGTTTCAGAAGTCTACCTTTAACATGACCTATGTGGAGGAGATATCCACCACGATTCTGTTGCTTCCCTATGCTGGCAATGAGCTGAACATGATCATCATGCTTCCAGATGAGCACGTTGAACTGAGAACGGTAAGGAGCATGGGGCCTTGATGGGGCTGTGAGAGAAAAATTGAGTGGCATTTGGGTTTCTGCTGGGGCAGCTCTCCTAGGCTCCCATGATCATGTTTTTATATTTTATTCATTTGTGATGCTGGAGTGGAACCCAGAGCCTGGAGCCTGCTTTACAAACACTCACCACTGAGCTGTACTCGCCCCTCCCAGCTACCTTATTGACTTACAGCCACACTTCCCTGGACAGTGTAGGGCCTCCCCATCATCTCAAGTGTCCTGTGACAACACTGTCCTGAAGTCTTCAACTCTCTTCTAGGTGGAAAAGGAAATAACTTACGAGAAATTCATAGAGTGGACAAGGCTGGACAAGATGGACGAAGAAGAGGTGGAGGTTTTCCTCCCACGGTTTAAACTGGAGGAGAATTATGACATGAAGGAATTCCTGTGCAAGCTGGGCATGACTGATGCCTTTGACAACAGGGCAGACTTTTCTGGAATAGCATCTAAAGAAGGCTTGTTTCTGTCCAAGGTCCTTCACAAGTCCTTTGTGGAGGTCAACGAGGAGGGCACCGAGGCTGCAGCTGCCACCGCCGCCAATGTATATTTTAGGTGTATGTCCTCCTACTTCTGTGCCAACCACCCCTTCCTTTTCTTCATCCAGCACTGCAAGACCAAGGGGCTGGTGTTCTGTGGCCGGTTCTCCTCTCCCTGAGAAAGGATTCTGCTGGGTCAGCCACGGCCTTTGCCCATTCCCCCTCCCATGATCTGTGATTTATCTGTGGATTAATAAATGTTGTGACAAGTCTGTGCTTGGTGCCACATAACTGTAAATCCAGCACTTAGCTGATGAAGTTGAAAAGATCAGAATTCAAGCAAGGGCAGTCTTAGGTACATAGCGAACTCAAAGCAAGTCTGGGCTACACTAGACTATCAAAGACATAAACAAAAACCAAATGAAACAAAAAGAGAAGGAAATACCTGAGTCTGGACGCTTTATAAAAAAGAAGTGCTTGGTTGACAGCTCTGGAAGCTGTAGAACATAGTTGGGGCTTCTGCACTGCCCTAGTGAGGTCCCCTGGTGGATGGCAATGCACAACAGTATGTGAGGTTCAGATTTGTTACTAACAAGCCATTCTCACAGGACTGATCCAGTCCCTTGATACCTACATTAATCCTTTCCTAGACCGTGACCTTCATGACCAAAGTGACATGGGAAACCACACTTCAGCCTGTGAACCCTCAGAGGACAAACTAAATCCAAGTCAGCACCTCTCATCCTCTCTGTAGCACTCCTGGTATTTTAATTTTTGGTTATTGATTGATTGATTTTTACAGTACTGGAGATTTACCATATGGCCTTACATATACTAGGCATATGCTCTACATTTAACTATATCTACAAACCCCCTTTTAAAAATGTTTCTTCCTTTGAGAAAGGGTCTCATTGAGTTGCCCAGGCTGGCCTTAAACTCTTTCTGCAGCTCAGGGGCATCTTGAATTTGAGACTTTTCTACCTCAGCCACGTGTGCAGCTAGGATTGCAGGTCTTTGCCACCATATCTAATGTTCCTGGTATTTTGTAAAACGTTTGGGACAAGGAGATTCTGGGTAGAGCAACTAGTTTACAAGGCAATTCTGCTGCAGGGAGTGCCTTTGAGATCTACAAGCCTGAGGTCTACTTCCCAAGGCCTTCTAATAGTCCCCAACAGTCCCCTGATGTACCTGATTGAGCACTCAGGCCCTGAGGAAGGAGGGCAGCCCCAGACCCCTGCTGCCCAAGCCTGAGGCAGCCTTGAATTGTAACTCTACTCCTATCTGGTGCCTTTCTAACTTCTACCACCCCTATCTCACATTTGGCGGACTCCTAGCACATAAGTTAATTGGCGTAAGGGCTACTTACTAATTATATGGCATGGAACCTTTCCGCATGTCCTACCACCACACCACACTCAGCTCTAAAAAAATTCCTATAGCAGCAAGGGATTCCTTTGTTTCAGAGGACTGAACGCTTTCTTCCTTTAGAGCCCCATCACACTCTCTCTCTGAGTATGTGCGTGCGCGCACGCCCCGCGCGCGCGCACGCTGCTGGTGACATGAGTACTCAGTTTGTTTTTTCTGTCACAGATGAGTGAGTTATTGGTTCCTTTTCCAGAGACTCACTGACTTTCCTCTCATATTTTGACCTTTTCAGTTAAAAAAAAATACCATCTTTAATGTTGGATATTTGGCTGATAGATCACTAGCCTGGCTTGTGCAGGACACTGAGTTTGAATACTAACCTGGCTTGTGCAGGGCACTGAGTTTGAACACTAGCACTGCAACAAATAACCCCCTCTCCAAATCTTTCACATTCCTTCTTACTAGCCTCCCTGTTCGACCTTGAAACCTGTTTCTGCACTCTGTTGACCTTGAATCTCATGCTTTCCAGGCTCTGTAGCTATGCTCCTGGCCCACATACACCATGTCTACCTGCCTGCCACCATGCTTCCCACCATGATGACAATGGACTAAACCCCCGAAAATATAAGCAAGCCCCAGTTAAATGCTTTCCTTTGTAAGAGTTGCCATGGTCATGGTGTCTTTTCACATCAATAGAACACTGACTAAGACAAATACCAATTTCACTTAACACTGAAATAATGCTGGGATTTAATATGACAACTCCATGTAGTTAAAAGGAGGTTTATTTTGGGGTATGTGGCTTTAAGTCAGAGGTTTTGTAGCTAGAGTTTTCCTGCCTGGCCCACAGTCAGGACAAATCTCTCTCACCTGCCAGTCCTACAGCCGCTCAGACCCAACCAAGTAAACACAGAGACTTATATTGCTTACAAACTGTATGGCCGTGGCAGGCTTCTTGCTAACTATTCTTACAGCTTAAATTAATCCATTTCCACAAATCTATACCCTGCCACGTGGCTCGTGGCTTACCGGAGTCTTCACATGCTGCTTGTCCTTGCAGTGGCTAGCAGTGTCTCCCTCCAACTTCCTGTTCTTTCTTTTCTCCTCTCTGTTAGTCCCGCCTATACTTCCTGCTTAGCCACTGGCCAATCAGTGTTTTATTTATTGACCAATCAGAGTAATTTGACATACAGACCATCCCACAGCAGGGGTAAGTCACAGCCAGTAAAGGGGTTGATTACAGGATCCGGGAGAAGTGAGGTACAGTTCAGCAGGGTTCTCTGGAAGGCAAGTAATCTCGTGTCTTAAGGGTTCCTGTCTCAGCCACGCCCCAAGGGCAGGTCATAGGTAGGCATTGTAGTTACTGGCTGCCTCACTGGGGTGGTGCTTCAAGGTCAAAGCTGGAACAGCTACCCATCACACTGAAATTATGTGGTCATGACCTTTATCAGTCCTTTTTTTTTTAAATTTTAATCACTAATATTAATTCAGATCACACATTACACTATGTGACATATTTGTGTATGTTAGAGTGGCTACAGATAGGTTAAAAAGACTGAAAAGTTAATAATATTAAAAATTGCTGAGTCACAGCATGTGGTTAAAAGAGGTATTAAGGAGCCCAACTGGAAAGATGAAGTGTCCTTAGTAACAGAGGCTTGGAAAGATTCACAGCCTGTTTGATCCAGGAAAGTGGAGAGAGAGGGTCAGCTGGTCATTTCTCTGCTGCTTTCCTGATCTGTCACCTGATCTGTCAGGTTTGTACCCCAATATCTGACTCCAAGTTTTCTTTTTTCTTTTTCTTTTTCTTTCTTTCTTTCTTTTTTTTTTTTTTTTTTTTTTTTTTTTTTTTTTTGGTTTTTCAAGACAGGGTTTCTCTGTGCAGCTTTGTCCTTTCCTGGAACTCACTCTGTAGACCAGGCTGGCCTCGAACTCACAGAGATCCATCTGCCTCTGCCTCCCGAGTGCTGGGATTAAAGGCGTGCACCACCACCGCCCAGCTCCAAGTTTTTATTAATAATAGAACAATATAATTAAACACTTCATCTGGCATCCAACATGTGGCACAAGCCACTGTGGCTTTTAAAGTTGCAGCTACTGTTGGTTACGCAGTGATGCAGTGACGCTCGTGGCTGGCCGCCACCTGCGGAGGCCATGCCAACTGAAGAGAGCGCTGGATGCTGCGGTGGCAGAAGAATCAAGAGCCATGGTTACCTTTCTAGAGCTTTATTAGGAGAGAGAGAGAAAAAGAGAGAGAGAGAGAGAGAGAGAGAGAGAGAGAGAGAGAGAGCACACAGAGGGGAGAGAATACAGAAGGAGAGAGAGAGTACAGAAAGAGGGAGCACAGAGAGGGCACGCCCGCTTTTTAGGCTGGGTTGCAGGCTGGTGACGTAATAAGGACATAATCCTTACATCCCAGACTTTCTCTTATTATAAAAAAGGAGGTAGATGGGAATAGGGGTGTTGTTTCTCTCAAAAGCTGCTTCCAGCTGACTGTTGGACGTCGGTTGGCTCTTGGGGGAATGAGGAAGGGGAGTCTTCCGAGGTAGACAGGCGTTGTGGGATGCTGTCTGCCATCCATTGTTCTGGAGACATGTATCCCTCTTGGCTGTGGCTGGGAACCTTCTGTCTGACAAGATGTTGGTGACACAGAAAAAAGCTTAGAGAGAAAAAAATCATTATTATTTTATGTTGGCACTTATCTGAGGTAGATCCAGCCTGTCCAGATGGATTTTGAAACATGTTAAGCTTTATCAGAGACAGATTATTTTAAAGCACCTGTTTCCTTTACTAGTTTGGCATCCAGGAGACAGGTGATCAATTATTAAAAGCATCTCACAGTAATAGATGTTTACATTAAAGTCTTTTTTTGTAGTGCCAGATGCTTTTGAGTCTGGGGGGGATAAATACCTTTTAGCTGTTATAGCTTCTTATTTGATGATCTCTGGACTCCGGTTCTGTGGTGGTCCTGTATCATTGGCTGAACAGTGAGTTAGAACAGGAAACTGGGAAGAGAAAAGCTTGTGGTGCATGAGAATTTACTTTTTTGAATTAGGGACAAGGCATCAGGGCCTTGTCTGTGTGCACGTGAGAAACACAGGCAGTAGATCTGGGGTGAGACAATGAAATAAAAGCTCCTATCTTAGCTGGAAATCTTTTTCCATTAAGTAACTCTGAAAGTACAATTAAATCTGGTGAGGTGGTAAGGCTGTCCTCTGTACCCAACAATAGAGAAGGAGTGACATCCCAAAACTCCCAGGACTGAGTCAGTGGTTTTGGTGTCCAGAAAGAACGAAATGGATCGCTTCCCTGCTGTGTTCTGGGTTCCCTGCCATGTCTGTAGCCAAGCCTAGGTCTGCTGGAGGTCTTAGTTTGATGTACCCATGCATCTTGGCACCTGGGGGCAGTCAGTTGACTGGTTGTTTTTCTAGGTGGCACTTTTAACCAGGTTGTTGATGGCCTGGCAGGGCACTTGCTAGCCCATGGCCTTTTCCTCACTTAAAACAGGGACCCAACAGCTTTTGGGAGTCAGCGAGTGCCAGCATTTGGCAATTTTGTTTTTGGGCTTTTATCTCTTCCCTGGCACACCTTAAATGTCACAGATGACTCTTTTGCCCGTGGGATCAGGAGCCTTGCTCTCCAGATGCTTAAGTTTTAGTCGGGGAGGTCTGGAGAACAAGAGATGGATTTTACTCCATGTCCTGAATTTTTTTTTCTTTTTTTGATGATTGTTGGCTTAAGGACAGCTTCTGGAAGATCTGCCAGGAGGCAGACTATAAACTGATCCTTTTGGAAGACTTGTCTGAGGCTATAAGCTGATTTTTGGCTTAAGAGCCATCCTGATTACTGTAAACTTATTTGCATGGATCTTAGCCGCTACCAGACCTGTCTGTGCTTCTCAAGGCAGTT